TACGGTTACTCGCATGATATGCCTCAACCGCTTGGATAAAGACGTAGGCGTTTGCTTCAGCATATTCCACGAAGACTAGCAACAGTTTCAGCGAAGTTTTGATCACAAGGCGGAACTGAAAGACAAGCGAAAGAAGTAAAATGAATCCTGTTCTGGTACAGTCAATAAATCGGCGATTATTCGAGGGCAGGGAAATAGGAGTCAATCGGTGAGGGAGGAGAAAAGCTCAGATTAAAAACTAAATAAAGATATGTCTTTCTATTCAGGATACGATGCATCTTATTTTTTGATAAACTCTACACATCTCCGAATAAGGCCTTCCAGATTACTTGCCTCCACCAGAACTCACATTTGCCTCTCACTTCTTGTACTCGCTCGCTCGCGAGCTTAGCGCGTGTGCGTTGTTTCTGATAATGCATGGGTTGTAACTAGGCTGATGTGAAACCCTGCAATGCAGGCTTGCATCATGCGGCTATGCTTCTTATGACTAAGACGTTTGTAAAGGACTCAAGAAAAAGGGCAGAGGGCAAGAAATAACCAGTTTTGCAGTGAAGGCAGAAGCTTTAAATGTGCCTTAATTGTGGAAAGTAATGCAATTGCGACATCCCCCTTAACCGTCAGGCAAGGATGGCATCGAAGTTGGATCTCAGTCATTGCGTTTAGGCGTGGCAACCGGTTGGCGAATAGCAAGAAATGAAAAGTGCAAGCATCCTTTTTTCACAATGTCTGACTTTACCTTTGAGGAGAGCAGTGAATAGAGCCATCGAATTGTCTCTGGATGCTCAACGACACCTGTCATGCCATCTATGTACAGCATCACCTGACCGAGGGCTATAATGAGAAATTATTTGAGATAAGAGAGAGGTGATTAGTCATTTGCGAAATAATTTTTCCGCACCAAGTTTATATTTAAGTCGATTCTAGATTTAGTAATAATTGTGCAGTGATGCACAACTTCAAAGAGATGACTATTACATCTGACAATGCACTTCTTTTCACTGCAGCAATGCCAGACATTGTTGACTATGGTTTAGTGACAACAAGACGAGGAGGAACGAATGATAATTTTGACAATAATCGGCCAGTGTGAATAGAGCAGGAGAGTTTTTAAGGCGTAGATATGAAGATCTTTTGTAGTCGCAGTCTCCTCTTCTTACATGAACTTAGCTTGACCTTGTTTTCTTAACCTGGTCGTTTTGACTGGGAGGCCAGAGAAGATGCATATCAAGATTTACATTTGCTAAGTCAATACTGGGGCGTCTGTATGCACTTTCGATGTGATGTAACGTGATGTGTGAGGAAGAAAAGGTGGCCCCTTTTACGCAGGACGAAGGTGATTACACCCGCCTCCTGAACACATGTTCACGAGTCGGTAAGTTTGCTGCCCCGATTCTGGAGAGTATTGGTCTTGGTCTTGGTCTGTCCATACTCTCGAACTCCTCGCAATACATGGTTCCGGCTAAAGTCCCGAACCACGAAAACACTGGCAGTATGGATTCAAGAGTATGCCTTACCTCATTCCTGTGTGGTCTCGACTGCATGACAAAGTATGCATCTGTGGCAGGATGAGGTTCTGGGCAAGGAAGAGGCAAGGACAAGTAGCCCGCCCTCTAAATGGTTGACAATAAGCCTCTGTCATGTAATGAAATTCTGCTCAAGGTTAGCCAAGTAATAATCCCTGATCTGATGTAGTCTCCGAAGGTAGTTGTGACAGAACAAGAACTATTTTTTCGCCAAAATCCCATTGCTTTCTGCCTACATGCTTTTAAGCATGCTCAAATCTGGCTAAAGAAATGAATTGAAGTAAAGCTGGGTTTCGAAGACTTCCTTAGTGATATATTGTGACATGACTTTCCATTTCCAAGGAAAATTTGGTTGGAAGTAAGTCGTGATGTGGTCTCACCAGAAACTAAAAGAGGATTGCTGCGTATGGAAGACTGTTGTATTGTAGCAAAATGGAAAGCCATGTCAAGAATCATGAGGTGCTTCATTATGATCGCAAAGTAAGGTTTATAAATGAAGCTGCTAGGGTTGCCGCCGACCACCTTTTCTCTTGGTTGAGTATATTTTTTCTCTCTTTCGTAAGGTATGGATCCTCGCTCTGAAGATGTCTGTCACGACGGAACAGACGAGTGTAGCAAGGGTTCATCGGGGTCGGAGGACGGTGAACCGAGGACTTTTTCGCACAATACAACAGTTCGCCTCACGTGAAAATCCTCCATCCGGTGAAACCAC